TCATCTGGTTCTTACTTAGCAGCGATGAGGAGCGCGGGGCGGGCCATGGAGGGGGAGGCCGGGAGGCCGTCGTGCCGTGGTGGAAAGGGTTTGAACCCGAGCGCCGCCGCGCCCCGCCCCCGCCAACCGAATAGCATACTGCTGCACGACCAGAGTGTGTTGTTGGTGGCGGTTGACGGCCAGCTCGGCTCAGGTCGCGGTCATGTCGCGGCTCGGCCGGGCTCGGGGCGCGTCCCGCAGCCGCCGTCGCTGCCGCACCAGCCGACCGCCAACCCCCCCAGCCAGCAGCTCCACCGGCGCGCGGGGCGCGGGGGTTGGCGGGGCTGGCCTTGTGAAAGGGTGGGGGATCGATATACGAGAGAGAGTTGGAGCGAGAGGGAGAGAGCGGGGCGTCGAGGGGGAGCGAGGGGGACAGGCGGACACACAGGCCGCGGGCGCGTGTGCGGTGGGTCCAGCTCGGAGCAGCAATCGGAACGTGCAGCCCCCTCCGATTATGGCTGTCTCGAGAGGCCCTCGGCCAGAGAGAGCAAAATCATCGAACGGGGGAGGGGGGAGGGGGGAGGCGTGTACAGCAGGATGACACGCCGTGTCACATTTCTCCAAGTGTCATCCAACGATGTTTCCCTCTCACGTTCATTCGTTTTGTTGGTTATCCCCCCCCCTCCCCCCACCGGTTGGCACACGATGGCGCGAGCAGAGGGGCGAGGGCCGCGCGGGGACGGCGGAGGATGAATATTGAGAACGGATAAAACTGAATTCGATCAGGACACTGCCGGGCGGCCGGTCTTCTCCCTGAACAATGAACTTCAATAAATATTGGCTATTCATTCCATCAGGCTGGCAGGATGGCGGCCGCTGGGCTGAGGGGGCGGAGGGGGCTGACCCTGACGGCTGAGTGGCATTTGGCATTCCTACCCGCTCCTGCAGCCGGCCCGCCGGTCCCAGCCCGGGCTGGTCATAAGGCGCGGGGTCACATTCTGTGCCCAACCCCGCCCCTTCCCCACTTCCCCAACGTCGAATAAACTCCCCCCTATCATTACTGCGCTCGACCCTCGGCTCCAAACACCCCCCTTTCCCCCTGTCACAGTGAGAGGATATGAGAGAGAGATAAAGAGAATAGAACAGGGAGAGATAGTGAGGGAAGATAGAGAGATGGAGGGAGCGAGTTAGGAGAGACTCGGCACGTGAGGCATTCCATTGCAGGGTACATTCAGGTACGGGATCTTCTGGTGTGCGTGTGCAAGTGGCACAAAGCCCTTCGCATGCCCTTCCGGTTCCGGAGCTTAAGCCCGCTCCACCCCCTCTCTCCTTTCCCCTCTCCTCTGCTTCACGGTTAGTGGCCATTGTCCGTGCAGCCGACCCCCCTCTGCTAACGAACAGCGGGGCGGCGGCAGCGGGTAGCGCCGTGAGGTAGGCAGACCCGCCGGACATGCGCGCTCGCCAGCCGGGGAGATTGCCTACCACCCGGGCGCCCGGCAAGCGCGCTTTCTCTCGGTCGCGTTCTCTCGCTCGCACTGTTTCGCTCCTACTCCCTCCCTCCCTCATTCCCTC